TCCGGCCCATATTGCTGCCTAATGGTTTATTCTTTACTTACTGTGACTGGCGCCTTGGAAAGGATAAGCCGGCTCCGGACATGATCATGATCATGAAGTTCATTGGGAGCTTGGTATGAGAGATTTCCCCATCGTTGCCTGACGTTTCTATTTTGAGGACGCACCTCTGGCCTTTGCACAACTAAGTGTGATCTGCGAGGCAGCAGAAAGTAATCCCTCTCCCCGGTATTGAGGGGATCAATGGCTTTAGTTTTTAAAGGCCAGTCACAGCGACCTTTGTCACGACGCCGTCACTAGGCTTATGTGGCTTTTAAACAGGAGCCATCCTGAAACCCACTACACCCTGGTAGTGCCGTTACTGTTTGTTCGCGACTGCTCAATTGTTGCGGTGTTATATAATTTATTCACAGCTAACCTTCTTCGGTGAAAGTATCCCCCTATCCACAATCTGGGGTCGCGCCTGGTAGCATTCAGCTCTGCTTAACCCGAGGGTATGGTTTATTCTGCACAAAACAGATTAATTCTCTTTTTTGAAGATGATAATGAAGCTTTCGTCCAGTAATGTATTCCACTGAAGAGCTTATCCCTATAATGACCACTAAATGTTTGATACTCTTTTTCAGTGATGCAAATGTGATTCAGTGTCAAGATAGTTAAAATACTACTATCTCTCGCAAGTGAATGGTCTCGCGTTACTCGAAAATTGATGTTTAAAGATCATAAAAAATATTTGCCACGGAATTATTATGATGACTAACTAAATGGTTGCTTCTTTATTTTGGGAGTTCATCAGCGATGCATCCGCCGGGTCTGAAATCGGATGGTTTGAAGTTGGATTTTAACCTCATACGTGCACTTTATTTCCCATCCCTAAAAATATACCCGATTCCTGTCCATCTTGCATATTCTCACTGGCGGTATTTGCATTGCGAGTTTGGCAGTAATCAGTAAAGTTCAATTTATGATGATAATGTAGAAACCCTAACCCTTCAGTTACTCAGTCGACATACAACACCACGAGTGAATGGCTGCAACAGTTCAAAATTTTATCCACAATGTAACCTCCCAAATCACGAGCATTATGTCGTATACTTTTTCCGCGACTGCGGAACCATTATAATGATTTTACAGAGAAATATTTGTTCAAATTTCCCTGGTTTCTGCTAAGTTCAAAATGTACGCAGAGTAAGAACGAATGTGTTAGGTGAATAATAAATGACCCTGTGTTGCAGAAGATAAAAAGAAAGTGAGTTTCTACAATAGAAACACAGCACATAACTTTTTGAGTATTCTGGCTCGATAGCAAAAGATAAAAGAAACCGCTGCTGTCGATTCAATACCTTATTTTTCAAATTTTCCAACCTAAAAACCCACTTCGCCTAATATCTGCGCATATTTCTGTTTGTCTCTTCTCAAAGTCTACTGTTGACCTCCGTGATTTTCTTCGCCTTGGAGCAGCGGCTGAAAGTAGGATGCGGTTGAAAGACAACTGCTAGGCGTGGGCAACATGTATTTCAACCAGCGAAGTCTACTAATCTTAATTCTGTACGATGCTAAGTTTTTCACTGAAGCGCATTAGAATATGCGTCTGATTACCTCAATTTCACCTACCCGCTCGCTCTATTATGGGATAAAAATCATTTCCCGAAGTAGCTGTTTTCGGCCATCGTGTCGGTATTGTCCTTGGTTTTGTGTGATTTTTGAATCCAAACGACTAAAGAGAAAACATTTGTCGTGATTTGTTGTCTGTAGTTCTCATTCACAAAATATTTCCCATCAATAATCTAGTCTAATCTAGCTGGAATCATGCAACTGGGTTTCTGTCTTTGCTTTTGATTTATCTAAATGTTGAGCATTAGAGATTAAAGTTATTAGGGAGAGGTGTGAAATATATGCTTTGGGTGTTGTATGGGATCTCTGCAACACTATTCGGCTTTGCCATAAGAGTCTATTTGTCGGGCCTCGAATAACTTTCGCTTGTGAATACACGACAGAGCAATGCTATTTAATTTATCTCCTGAACATGTTCGATGCATCTAACCATTCAAAGTTTTCTCATTGCACATCATATGGGTTAAAGCTCTTCAACCTCCACATTCATGAGGACGAAAACTCTATAGCTAGTTGTGATACTTCAACAAATAATCGAAAATTCATAACCACGTAGTATGTTGAGGATGATCACCAGAATAGAGTTAAGCTAATTTGCAGTGCTAACTTAGAACTGACCTTCTGAACTACCTACCCACCGCGGTTAGGTGCAGAGTTTTAGGTAGCCGCGGTCGCTCACTGAAACAGGTGGTCGACCTCGTTAGCTGGTTGGGGCACATGTTACACATGTTACCAAAAAGTTTGGCACGGCGCGCGATGTTTGCCGAGGCAGGTAGCGGATGCAAAAAACTTCAAGGGTGGTAAAACCAAGACCTGGCACGAATATATAAAAGCTATAACCCGGAAACTCGGTCACATAGGCCCCTTTAGGCTCCCCGGTTGGGGACCTCGGGATTATCATCACCGTTGGTTAGAGATACTAAGTGACATGGCTGAGTGTCGTAAACAATGACGTTTGTGCATCTTCTCAATTTCTTTACAATCTTATTTCACCGAAATTCTCCATTTTCTCTTCGACTCTACTTTCAACTTTCCTATCTTTTCCTACTGTTCATCCTAATGGCCACCAAAAGACGACAACCCAAACCGGCGCACGATAGTGCATGATTAATGGCCGTACGAACGGAAACTGAAACTACTAAACTTGAGCAGCTAAATGATCTATGCTCTGTGGATGATGCGAATCAACATTAGCACCACGCGGATCCGTGGCTTCCACCTGGCAGTTATCAATATTCTCTCTGCTCAGTTTTGCTTCTGTGATTGGCTCCTATGTTTTTATGATACATTTGTGTTATGAACAGCAGGCAAAACGGACTCCATAGTTATGAAGACCTGGTATTCAGTGATGGAAACCAGAAACCCGAGCTCCGGGGCGCAGTGACGAATCACATGAGGTACTGCTTGGTTAACCGTGGTAAACCGGACGGCAGTAGAGCTGTCCACCAGCAGAATTGGGTGGCATCGGTGGGGTTCAAACCTCGGACCATAGAGTTCAAAGCAAGCCGATGACAGTGACAAACCTTCTGTACTGTCACCAGTTGATCTGATGGTTCGGATCGCTCCCACCTGTGGCTGTCGATTTAAGGCCAGTTCAGTACTGTTGGCTACCAAATTTTCATTGTTTTTCCATAGACCATTCATGCTTCGGGGGCCTAATTACTCTATTGACTCCCTGACCATGTTAATTGAAGTCTAAAGATGATCTCTTAGGTAGCAGCACCGCATTTGAGAGGATTCACGGTTTAGAAATGCTGTTAGCATGTCATCGAAAAACATAATCAAACCACTGAAAGGTTGGTATTACTTGAGAATGATTATCATAACATGCACGGGATTAGATAAAATGAATAAACACACGGGCTTATTATGAGACGCCATTTTTCAGACATATGCAGGAAATTTCGTACTCATCCTGTGATCCATTCGTGTTTAGCTTTTATCAGTAATAATGACTAGAAAAACACTTCCATTGCTAATCTGGGTGAAGCGAAACGGGAATGAAAGTAATAATTCGAAAATCAATGAAAATTAGAATAAAAAGAATCAGAACAACGGGTTTTGTTGATCGCTTGTATATTCTGTGACTAACAAAAGCAATTTTTGTTAGATTAATGAAATTCGGGCTACCTTAAGCGGCGTTTAAATAAGGATGTGGATGAACGGGGCGCATAACGACAGACCGAAGCCCTGGTATCCAAAACGCGTTAGCAAGTGTAATCGGGCCATTCAGCTGATGATATCCGGATTTGGCCCAGTGGGGGAACGAAAAGAATCAGAGGTTTTGGCCAACTTCCCTAGAAGAACTACCAGTGGTCCATCAAGCCGGTTATAGCCCCGGATGTTGGCTTTTCTTCCTCTCACTTTAATGGAAAAACATCTCTATTTAGTATTTATCTAGTATTAAGGGCTTCCTCAGCAGAGGCTTTTTGAGACGCTTGGTCTTACGGGAGCATTTCGCGAGATGCAAGGGAAGGGTACCAGCCGCAACCCTAGACACTCACCTCCCGCCCATACTGAGGCTTTCGGAGGTACAAGTCATAAAGGCTCGCAAATCATCTCATTCAGCGGAGCCGTCATATCTAAATAGTCATCCATAGATGAGAGTATCAAAAGGACACAGATCAAGTGAAAAGTAAGGTTGGATGGTTGGTTCAGGGAGAAACAGCAATGGAGTGGGAGGGAAGTAAGGTTAAAGTGGAGAATGTAACTGCAGTGACAAAAAGCAATTTATAGTTGTGACTCTGAAATCTCACATGAAATGTTCACACCAGCCGTACCTTTTGGTCTCTTTGCCGTCGATCAGTTGGAATAGCGTTGTATAAATCTGTTGCAGAAAACGATTAAATAAATAAACAAAATGGATCGACATTCTTCCCACAAATGTGAAGGGTAAAAGTGCCACAAGACGTTCATTGGGACTACCGATCACAAGTGAAGAATCCGTAGATAAACGCATATTATGGACTATTCCTCGAAGTGTTAGCACGTGCGAACGGAACAGACCGGCGTGAGAACCGTCGTGCACTCGAAACAGGCGATGAATCATACCGAATTGCAAGTACTGTCAGATTGCTAGTGCTAATGTACTCACCAGCTCTACTGTAAAGATTCATTTTCTCTTGACAGTTCTTGTTGGAGTTCACAGCATCCACTTAACCTGCGTTTTCAAGAGTTGGGTGTCGTAAATTTCGACATTTGTCTATTTTATGTCCATTATTTGGGTAACTTGGAACTTAGTCATACTACCTGATTTATTTATTTATTCGTGGTCAGTGAAACTATAGCATCGGATTGTTAAATTGATTGTTTAAATAAAACAAAACTAAGGCTTCACGATTTGTGGACACCTTTTAGGTTAGAAATTTTTTTTTCACTCTGATTACAGCATACGTGGTGGTCGACAGTTGACAATATTGGCTTCGAATCTTGTTCCCGGTGACTTGGTGCTTTTATCTATGGGTGATCGCATTCCAGCCGATATTCGACTCATTGAAGCTGTGGGTTTGCGCGTCGACGAATCCAGCCTAACAGGTGAAACAGAGGCAGTGTCAAAAGTGTCCCGCGAGTTGACTGTGGATCCCGGTGACACAAGTGTACAATCCAGGACTGATGCAATCCACATGCATCAATCCAGTGAATTTGGTAGGTTATGGAAGCCTACATTTTTCATCCCACTTTAATATCGTACCATTTGGGGTGGCATACATATCACTGTTCTATTAAGTTAGTGTATGCTATGTACTCAGAATTTTACAAACCAAGTTGTTTGTACACGATACTTCGTGACTATAGCGCTAGTAGCCAAATGAGTAAGGTCGTTATCTTAGAGGCTTGCCGCTTCCTAAAATCCGAATTTCATAATCCGCTACCGCTTCTGCTACTCAAGCCCTGCTTTAGACAGTTGGACGCTACGTGCAAAAGAAATGGAATCAGCAGCTAGGTATGGAAGCACCCGGCAACTATTCCAGCTCATCCGTACTACAGGCCCCATTAGACAGTGCGTTAGTGAAACAATTTGCTATGATAGTTTGTTGTGGTTGGCAAAATCTAACTCAGAAGTTTTTTACTTTTTACACACCTAAGACTGATGAACAGCAAACGGGGCGAACCCCATAGGCACGAGGACCTACTGTACAATGGTGTAAACCGGCAACATAAGCCGTGGGACTTGGAGTGTCTAACCCATAAGGCCCCGATAGGTTAGGCGTGGTATTAAACCGGACGACGGCAGAGCTGCCTACCACCAAAGTCGGGTGGCGGTGGTGGGGATCGAACCTAGGACCACAAGGTCCCAAGCACGTCGGTGAGAGCGACTAAATTATTGCGCCACCATCACCAAGAAGTATACTTTTTAATTTTGATCGACTAACTACTGCGGGAGGATAAGTCGGCTTCTTGAATGTCTGATGCTGGCGGCCCATGCATGACGATCAGTAGCAAGGTTGACACAGTGAAACCAAGTTCTGGTTCCAGTTACGAATTTCATGTTCTATTTGGAGGCCCAATATTTCCAAATCTGCCTTGATCGTACTACTCCATGTCTTCAGTTGACCACCGAGTCGGAAACGCCATTCACGGCACGGTACGGGGGCTACAGCCTGTCAAGATAGTTCAGTGTCGGGCCTTCGGAGCACATGGCCAAACCGCTGAAGGCGCCGGCATTGTAGCATTTTTGAAAGCTTGTCAATGTTCGAGCAGCACCATCGAACCTCATCATCGGAAATCCGATCTCTCCAACGTACTTTCAAAATGCGGCGTAGGCACCAATGATTAAAGACTTCGAGCTTTGTATCTTTGTATCTTGTACTCTCAGCGGCCATGTTTCACAACCAAAAGTGAGGATGGGGTGGATGGAAGCCTGATAAACCCGAAGGTTAGTGTTTAAGCCTATTTCGCATCGATTCCGCAACGGTTTGAGGAGTTGCATGAAGGTTCTTTTAGCTCCATCTACACGGAGTTGAATTTCATCCTTAGCCTGACCGTTTGATCTTATCGTAGAGCCAGGATACTTGAAAACTTCGGTTGATTCGACAAGCTCCCCCTTAATCGAGAGGGGTTGTGTCATGGCAGAAGTTTCGGTCGAAAATGTGTTCGTTTTTGACGTGTTGATCTCTAGCCCAATGGTATAGACAAACTGTTTTTATACGACTGACAACAGGCTGTCCATGGTGACTCCAAGTACAATGACATCATCGTAAACTCGAGGTCAGCAATCCATATATCTGGTCCAAACTGCACTCTGGGGTATTTGACGAGTGCTTGTCGAGTTATCCAATCTACACCGGCGATAGGGAACAACCTTGCCTGACTCCAGAGCTTAGGGTAAACTCATCTGATTCTTCTCCATAGGACGCGTGCCCGAAATTCTGAGTAGTATGACTTTCAAAGCCTGATGAACTTTTCCGGTATCCCGTCGGACCGCAATATGCACCACAAGGATTCTCTATCGGCAGGGTCAAACGCAGCGCGGAATTCAATGAAACATGCTGTGGCAGACTGTTGGAACTTGTAGTGGTGTTCCAGAATCCTATGAGGAGTGAAGATTTGTGCAACGCAGCCTCTTCCGCTGTGAAACCATCATTGGTTCGGGTGAGTGCGGGCATCTCTGACGACTGCGAAGCGATTAGGCAGTATCACTACAAACAATTTGGCAGCAATATCAATGGGGCTAACACTCCTGTAATTTTCTCAACTAGATCTGTCACCCTTTTTTGGAACTGGGACCAAAATTGAGGCTGTCCAATCTTTTGGAAAAATTTATCTTTCCCAAATAACGTGGAAATAAGAGTGCAGCGGACCGATCAGAGTTATATATTTTATATTTTCACACACATCTGAATCAAAACTGTGTGCCAAACAAATCGTGGTACAATAATCTTTATGAAAAAAGTTCCATGACTTGCATGTGGGCGAAATACTGTCGGGTTGCCCAGGCCTAGACAGGTGAATTTTCTTGAGGAATCCACAACCGGAGCCTTCGGCTAACCAAAGCCTGACCCCCAGGGCAGCTGGGCGTTGTGTGAAAACCGCAATCCATTGGAGGTCTGTGTCCTGTTGATGGGATCATATACCTTTTAAACGAGGTCAAACGTCCAACGCACCCAACATTCCTCGATACTCAATCAAGCCAATGACTACCGCCAACATTTGGCAGGTGTCGACGTTGTTCACACGCCTATCAGTTAGTTTGGAGTCAAGGTTTTAGCCAACTCATCTAGGCGAACTGCCGGTGGTTCACCGCGTTTGTTATAACCCTGAATGTTAGCTTTTTGTCTTCTCATTTCAGCTGGGAAAACACTGCCTAATGAGGGTAATACTTTCTTGGATATTAGGAACCGAGCTGGTAGAAAACCGATCGGCTATGCTACAACTCGTAAACTATTATTTCATGTTCATTCGTTTTATGGTTTGCCCCACATTTACGGTTTTCCGCAGTACGAAATGGTAACACAGCTCTCGAAGTTGCCGCTTTGGATCGTTTACGTGGTTGCCATGATCTGATAAATATTGGATTTCTCGGTACATTAGTGTGCTGCGGAAACGCTCGTGGAATTGTGATTGCTACAGGAGAACGTTCCGAATTCGGAGAAGTTTTTCGCATGATGCAGTCGGAGGAGGTGAGTGTTGAAAATTCAAAATAAATTCATGTATAATGCTCCTCCGAGTAAGGTAAATGTGGTTTCGTATTTCTTCGATGCCAAGTTGATAATCCATTTGATGTTGGTAGCTGTTCTACGCAGTTAGCAATAGATTGAAAAGATGCAACTTAAAAGATGTAGTGCTCACTGTACATGCTCAATAAATACAATATAGTTGTCACCCTCAGTTGAAGTCAAGTTATCAACAAGAGGATAAGTAAAGGATAAAAATGCATCATAGAATGTGCCCATATCCATTTGTAAGCACTGTATTGTATTTGTATTTTGCAAGCACTGAAATTTACATTTCAGTTAAAAAGCTCTATACACCAACCGTCACAGGGAACATATACAATGAGGAAAATGTTTACAGATATTTCATAGTTCAAGGTTAAGACTAAGTTCACTTGTTCCCTCTCTTTGTTTAAGAGTAAACGCGTAAGATAGAATATAGTTGATTTTCCGTGAACGTTTATACAGGTGTTGATCAAACTCGTGCAAAATCTTGCTCATTTTGGAAATACTTTTCAGTCTGCAATACCATACTTGTATATACGAGATGAGATGTGGCAGAATCCAGAGCATGTAGAGGGATTGGAACGTTACGTATCAGTTCTGCGTGCAGTGGATGGTCAAGGTCACAGCTAACTCATTCACACGAATAGAAGAGATGCGGCGAATGATAGTTAGACCGCGGCGTAAGATTTTGAAATCCTGTTTGAGTAAGCCAAGAAAAATAACGGGGGAACAGTAAAATAAGATAGAGAAAACACTATGTTATTCAAAGATAGAAATAACTGACTAGGATGAGCGAAACTGCCTGAACTTTTGAATTTTGAATTATGAGCGCCACAGTTTTGGCTGTGGGTTGACCAACGAAGATTGATATCTATAGTTACACCAAGATATTTGACAGAGTTCGTTCTAGATTTAGGATTGTTGTTTATCACCACCTTGTCTTCCGGATACGAAGAGCGTGCAAAACTATATAAACGTTCAACTCATTTACTGTGGGTTAAGTGTTAACCCTGATAAGCAGGAGAATGACCGAATTTGACCAATATTGTCTGTGAAGGAGCTCAGATTGGAGGACAAAGAAATGGGTTGGTACAGCACAGCATTTACAATAGAGGTAATTGCCCCAGCTATGGAAGCAGCACCAAATTCGAAGAGTGCTGGAGGTGAACCATCCGGACCTGCAGCAGAGGACGAATTACAACTATTAAAAATTTTTGGCATATCGCAATTTGGGTTTTCACATTACAAACATTGTGTGACGAGTAGGTAGGAAGAATGTCCGGTGGCTGGTGCAGGAATGCGACATTGAGATCATCAACATGAACACCCAGCTTCGATCGTACTTTGTTCCTTCCACAGATAAGTCTGGTACCTTGCCACAGGTGTTTGCGGGTTCCAGTCCTCAGAATTCCATATGAGCATAATGCCTGACAACGGAAGCATTGTGAGATTTGTATGCATGTTCCTTTTATCGTCGCAGTGACTTTAGTAGAGGAGAGGTTATCCTACCGTTTTGACAAACTTTTAGCAGGGCAGCATGGATTATAAATGGTATTAACTGTTTGAGTGAATAAGGGAGACACGTGGATAGAGAAGAAGGAGGTGATGAAAGCCATAAAGGAGCCTGCTTGAGAGATTCATTGAGAAGAGAAACACCTGGTGGTGGTGATTTGGTCAGATATTAAGAAAGATTTGTATGTACAGTGTGAATAAACTTTAGGTCAAACTAAGAGTAAATAGTGGTCGCTGGAGGAAATGGGTGCTTTTAGTGCTAAGGAAAAAAGGGGTTCGGTGATTACGCTGCCAAGTATGGAGTTGTCTCTTGTGGGAGAGTGACAAAGATGTCATACCTAATGATCAAAGAGGATAAGTACTAGTATGGTTAAAGCCGCCAACGATCATGTGCAAGTTAACCCCTGAAGCGGGGCAATAAAAGGTATACACAAGTCGAAGAGTGACATACTATCTGATTGTGTACAGTAAGGTGCTATATGAAAGTCAGTGAAAATTGTGTGAATAAAACGGGAAACATCTTGGGTGACATTGCACAGTTAGGCAATAGATACCTTTTAAGCAGTACTGAAAAATAACATGGAACTTGCTACACNGTTGACATCTGTTACAACACCCCCTTCAGTCTTCTTTCTTCCGATTCCACAATCCTGTCGGTAAACTTGAGAACCGTCTGTCAACACTAGAGTGTGGTTCATATCCTTAGGAGAATTCGCCTGCCTTGGCCTGGGCAACTTGACAGTATCGCGCCCACAAACAAATCATAAAGCCATCTCTTTTTTTATAGAGATTACTGTACTGTGATTTGTTTGGCACACAGTCTGAACTCAGACTTATGTGAGATATACGTCGTTTGTGGTGAGCACTTCATGATTACTTGGGTTCTCCACAGGGAGGTTAGGTGTTCAATCATGCTGACTCTGAGCGAGCGATCGAATTCGAGGAGTACAAAATGTTCGTCTTCCGGGGTACGACACCGCGATATGGTTTTGATTGGTCTGTGGTCCAAGAACAAGTTGGGAAATAACAGTAGTGGTTTTATTTTAGTAACAGGTGATCAGCAGGGA